TCACTCAAAATTTTAAAAGAAAATTCTAAAATTCTAAAAAAAAACTTCCTGGCCAACCATACCTTTGGTAGATTTCAACCTGGAAATTTGATATATACTATATGCATCATAATTTTTTGTTATTCACACCATGAATATATATATGTATATATTATCCAAATTATGATATTTGTTTGTACTGTACATCCATAGCATGAATAGCAAAATTTATGGTGCGAATAGTAATAGCTTATAGCTTGATATGTGTACGTACATTCTTTAGAAACACTAAAGATCAAAATCCAGGAGTTAGTGAGGCTGAAGCCCACTTAGAAGTCCCAGGCTCAGAAAGTCGATATTTTATTCCAAAGTAACGCGCATATGCTCGTTATTTTTCAAGATTTTATAGTAATCGGCAATTTCACACACAGGATAACGATGTGGATTTTCGCAATGCACACATAAAATATCTGGATAGAAACAGGCTTTATAACGGTTAAGAATTCAGATTAACATTCTTTTTTCGAGTATCCGTTATCCCATGTGGATATAATTAAGATTGTCGAAAAACCCAGAAGTCAAAGAACTTTAATTTGCAGGATGCAATGTTTGCGAAGACTATTTCAATGAAAAACTATTAAGTCGTTATCTATCAAATCAATTCAAATTCAGTAGTCAAAGTAATTATGTAAAACGAAAATAAATTATAGATCCAAATTCTTTGCTCATTTATTTGTTTATTCCATTATGTGTTTGGAGGACCATTTGCAAACAAATAAACGTTTTAAGGCGTAGTATTAACTAGAGAAAGTAGAAAAACAATCTCTAACAAAAAAAAAAAAAAAAAAGAAAAAAAAAGGGAAAAAAAAAAAAGAAAAAAAGGGCAAAAAGAAAAAAAAGAAAAAAAAAAAGAAAAAAAGGGCAAAAAGAAAAAAGAAAAAAAAAGAAAAGAGAGGAAACAAGAACGTTATAAAAAAAAAAATTAGGTCAAAAAAAAAAAAACACGATAAAAGGTCTTCGTGCTTAATAAAATTTAGGACGTGCAATATTATTATACAAAAACTAAACAAAAAAAAAAAAGAAAAAAAACAAAATGAAAAAAATAAAATGAAAAAAAATAAAATATATATAACATACAAAATAAGAACCAAATTAATAGAAAAAAATATATATATATGTACAAAAACGATGTGTGAAATAGATAAAAATTCGAAAAAATTCAGTATTTTAATACAACTTGGGATATCTTGATCGGAAAAGTGATCGTATTAGTATATACTTCATTAACTAAACCAAGGACCATTCAACTTATTGATTGATTATATTATTCATGTCCATTTTGCCTTCACTTGTTAAATCAACCGGGCTCATATCATTTTTGTTTATTAAATTAACCGAGCCACTTTCACCCTCATTTATTAAAGCATCCACAGCCATTACGGTTTTAATACGGATACTACTTTCTTTATTCTTTTTTAACTTTGGTGACAAAAAATTCCGAACAATAAGATCTGTTCTGCGCTTACCATCCTCGCGTGCTTCGCTTAACCTACGCGCTATTTCGGCGTGGACTGGGCGACGACCAAGCTTATAATAGATATCATAAATACGAGTCTTCTCATCATGTGTTAGTTCTGTGTTGTCAACTTTTGTGAATTAAATTTAAGTATTAGTATGATTATTGGAGTCACGTGATAATGGTATTGATGTTAAATACTAACTATTTTCATCAAGATGGTTACAATATCGTTCTCGCAGAGATTTAGCACTTCTATTCATATACGTTTCGATCACCGCGAAGACATTATTCTTATGTTTGTCTTTGAGTTCTTTATAATAATATATTAACCGTTTGTCTTCCTGAAGGTTGATATTTGTTAATCATATGTTTAAACTAATTTCACATGATATATCGCTCAGTAACTCACATAGGGAAGATAACGGCCTTTACGGATAATTCGACCGTTTCGTGCGGTAACTTCATGAGTGCATATTTTAGTTTCTTCACGAGTGCATATTTCGTTTTTTTCATCAAATGAACCTACAGGTGTATCTGTATTACTAAAAGGCTCTGCATTCAAATCCTGGCTCGACATCTTGACTATTAAAAGGGCCGTGATAATTTCAAGTGTCGAGCGACCAGCGAGACTCAAGTGAAATTAACTACGGCTTCTAGAAGTTAACTTAATTTATACGGTATAATGCAAGTGACGTTACTTTTTTCGTTTTAAGTCCTCTAAGAACGTTATATACAAGTTTATATTTATTAGAGATCTATTTTTGTTTACAAATCTAACTAAAAAGCCACAAATAAACTTGCTTATAACGAAGATACAATATATGAATGAGTGTGTTGAGTGTATTGAAAACTTGGGTATTTAAAACTTGGGTATTTAAAGTGAGATTTTGAATACAATATGTTCAATATTTCTCGTGCCTATCGAAGATCAAAAGAACCACTATTATGTAGATAATAAATATTGTGAATCTTTCTTGAAATAAAATTTGGACGGAAATATTGAAACTTTACGGAAAATATTGATATATTGATGGCTGGTCAGAAAGTAAACTTGTGTAGACCATTCATATACTTATATATTTTTTTTTTCTTTTTTTTTTTTTTTTTTTTTTTTTTTTTTTTTTTTTTTTTTTTTTTTTTTTTTTTTTTT